AGAGATCGGATATAAAATCTTTGCGGTCCAACCATATCGATCAACTGGACGGCGATCATGTTGCGAGAAGGTGGCTTAAGCTCTGGATGGAGCTTCCAGCAAGTAGCTTCCACGGGTGAAACGCAATAGCAAAGTTTCACTATCAACAAAGGGAGATTACACAAAATTCTCTAATCTAGAGAATAAAACCAAACATGGATGCCCAAAATTGGGGGCCAAAAACTCCCCGTCCTGACTGAGAATACATCTCTGATAATGCGCTCCATAGCTTCATAACAGAGCTATGAAACTGGTGGATCTTGCAAACAGAGGGCTCCATTGAGCCAAATNCAAGTTCAAATAAATACATTCTTGATTTGGACCTGAGTACCAGAGCTTGAGCTGAACTTGACTGTCGAACTCAAATTTTTACTCAAGTTCGACTTGGCAGAAGTTAATGAGCATATTTACCTTATGCATTGTAAATTTTCAGTTTTCACACAACGTTGTTTATAATTTCATCACCATGACAAGAAAGAATCTGCTATTTCTCAGTCATGTGGCATCAACTGCCGCCGGAAATTATGGAGTCCCAGTGGTCGTCGATGGCTTCTGCTATGGGCGAGCCAGTGGGATGGCGCCACGAGCGAGGTAATTTTCTATAATCCTTTTCATTTCATATCCTTACCTGATTCTTAATTCAGGATCATATCATAATTCCTTAGTTCTTTCTGTTAATATATAGTTGATGTGATATTGATTAGATAAGTTAATTTGTCTGTATTGATCTTTCCATACAACAGAATTGCTGTTTATAAAGCTATATACCCGAGCTTGGGAACTTTAGCAGATGTGGTGGCAGCAATTGATCAAGTAAGCCACTATCTGCACTTCATTAATAACAATCAAAGGTCACAAATTTGAATACAATAATATTATTTTGACCTAATCTCTTAATATAATTTACTTATATAATCTATCACAATTATTTTAGATCGGTTATGAGTTCTAACAAACACTAAAGTTCACTATCAATTCAATGATTATAAATAATTAAAAAAAAATGAATAATTAGATCCAAGTAACATCACTCATTTTAACATCGACATAGAACTAGGTAACAAGTTGCCCTCCTTTTTATATCATTAACTATGCATGCTTGCATGCACGAAGGCTACCATGTATTGATGGACATCTTTTTTTGGTCTTTCAATAAGAGATCTGAATCTTTTTCATTATACTTTCACTCAATTGCACACAACGTGGATAATTTGTCATGCATGAATGAGGGGTTCACTTATAGATAATATGTCTTATATGAATTTATAGGAGATGATCATCTACCATTGATGAGTAAGAAATGGATCTCATTTTAAACCAAAAAAATATATTGAAGGAAACATCACACTACACTTTGGCCACGACTTTTCGTTACGAACCCAAAAAAAAACCCTTCCTGAAAAGTAACTTCTGGACTATGCAAGTGGAATATTGACGCCAATTAAAGCCATTATGCGCTTTCTTCTCCGAGTGGATACATCAATTTCGTTTACAAAGGTCGTCTATGAAGGTCTCCCGCCATTCTTGTGGTCAGCGCCTGTTTTGTTTTTGCGACAAAATATTCGTCACTAATTCATACATATTTCTAATGTTATAGAAAAATANTCCAAAGGTCTCCCGCCATTCTTGTGGTCAGCGCCTGTTTTGTTTTTGCGACAAAATATTCGTCACTAATTCATACATATTTCTAATGTTATAGAAAAATATTGCTTTGTCAAATGATTGTATTTTTTATGAGGAACACTTATTATCACTTATAGTTCCACTACATTCCACTTAGGTCACCAAAAGATCCCTTTTGGCGACAAGTTATGATCATGTGAAAAACCTTCTCAGAGTAAAGCTGTGACAATTTGTTGGCAAATGTCCTGCCCCTTGTGGAGGGAATTTAGCGACCAAAAATAGACCTTTAGCGACAAGCTTCTGAAAACAATTTTTCTTGTATTGCATTTAGATTGAACGTTGTCGATGGGCTATTTTCATAGGGTTGTTTGTGCAATTGAAGAATCAAAAGAACAAGTTTTTAACAATGTGATACTAATAGTGCAGGCAGTACTAGATGGAGTTGATATCTTATCACTGTCCATTGGACCAGATGAACCACCAGAAGATACCATCACTTTTCTGGGCACGTTTGACATTTTCATGTTAGGTGCACAGAAGGCCGGAGTTTTCGTGGTTCAAGCCGCCGGTAATCAAGGGCCGGATTACTCCTCCGTGGTGTCTTACAGCCCTTGGGCTATCGGTGTAGCCGCTTGTCGCACAGATAGAAGGTATCCGGGTACTCTTATTCTTGGCAATGGTCAAACAATTGATGGTGTTGGATTATCAGGTAAATATATTTTTAACACTTGAAATAATTGTGAGTAAAAAGAGATACTCAAATTAAGAGTAAAACCCCGTATATATAGGCAAAATATAAAAATCATAGTAAAGGTAAAAAAGGGAAAAGAAATCCTAAAGGGAAAAGAAATCCTAATAAACATAGGAAAAGAAATCCTAATAAATCTAGATTATCTATACTCCAACATTAACAATTAAAGTTAGTTCAAACTCACTTCCTGTAACAAGGTATCAAACCGTCCGGTGAAGTGTGTGCGACATATTTTACAAAGTACGAGGTTTAAANGGTATCCGGGTACTCTTATTCTTGGCAATGGTCAAACAATTGATGGTGTTGGATTATCAGGTAAATATATTTTTAACACTTGAAATAATTGTGAGTAAAAAGAGATACTCAAATTAAGAGTAAAACCCCGTATNGATATCCGGGTACTCTTATTCTTGGCAATGGTCAAACAATTGATGGTGTTGGATTATCAGGTAAATATATTTTTAACAATTAAAGCTAGTTCAAACTCACTTCCTGTAACAAGATATCAAACCGTCCGGTGAAGTGTGTGCGACATATTTTACAAAGTACGAGGTTTAAACTATTATATTACAACATACGTAGACCTAATACAAAATAGATAATATTATACAATNCATAGGAAAAGAAATCCTAATAAACCTAAACTATAATAAACCTAGACTATCTATACTCCAACACTCCCCCTCAAGCTAGGCGCAAAAATGTCAACTAAGTCAAGCTTGACAACGGAGTCCCGAAGAACAGACAGAGTGACAGGTTNAGCTAAATATTCAGAGCACAATTTTGATTAGCTTGGAAATACAAGCATTTCTGGAAGAATTTTGAAAAAAGAATGAAAACTGAGACTCTGTTTATTTTGCATCTCAAAAAATTGTTTTTTATTTTCCAAAACAATTTCGAAGAGAAAATATGTTTGACCATAGTTTCGGAGAGAAAAAATGTTTGACCAGTTATTTTTTGTTTTTTGAATTTTGAAAACTAACAACAAATAAATTAAAATTGTTTTGTGTGTTAATCAAAATAACTTTTTTTAGAATTTAGAAAACACCTTCGTCGCCACACTTCCACTGCCTTGATCACCACCACCACACCACCACCACCATCACATTTTTATTTTTAATTTCTTGGGTCATTAACCAAATAAATTTTACCATTTTCTATTCTGATTGTTTTTAGATTTATATAACCAAACAAGTTAAACATTTGAGTCGAAACGACTGAAACGAATTGGAATTTTGATCGCTGATATGAACGGAATGTTGTTTCTAAGAACATTAGCATACTTACATGGAAATAACAGCCATTTTTGTTGGTCGTAGAGTATATCGCGATACTACGAGCAGCAAACAGACAGAGACCAGAGAGGCTTTGTGATCAGATTCAATGCCAGAGCATCCATAGGAGAGGGAAGAATTGCTTCTTACACGGGACGAGCGCCGATCGTCAGCAGATTCTCTTCAAGGGGACCCGATTTCATAGACCGTAGCCGGAACCCTACCGATGTACTCAAGCCAGATATTTTGGCTCCAGGGCAACAAATTTGGGCAGCTTGGAGCCCCATGAGTGTTCTAAATCCAATCTTATCAGGTAACTAAGAACAAGGATNTATTTTCTATTTTCCAAAACAATTTCGAAGAGAAAATATGTTTGACTATAGTTTCGGAGAGAAAAAATGTTTGACCAGTTATTTTTTATTTTTTGATTTTTGAAAACTAACAACAAATAAATTAAAATTGTTTTGTGTGTTATTCAAAATAACTTTTTTTAGAATTTAGAAAACACCTTCGTCGCCACACTTCCACTGCCTTGATCATCACCACCACACCACCACCACCACCATCACATTTTTATTTTTAATTTCTTGGGTCATTAACCAAATAAATTTTACAATTTTCTATTCTGATTGTTTTTAGATTTATATAACCAAACAAGTTAAACATTTGAGTCGAAACGACTGAAACGAATTGGAATTTTGATCGCTGATATGAACGGAATGTTGTTTCTAAGAACATTAGCATACTTACATGGAAATAACAGCCATTTTTGTTGGTCGTAGAGTATATCGCGATACTACGAGCAGCAAACAGACAGAGACCAGAGAGGCTTTGTGATCAGATTCAATGCCAGAGCATCCATAGGAGAGGGAAGAATTGCTTCTTACACGGGACGAGCGCCGATCGTCAGCAGATTCTCTTCAAGGGGACCCGATTTCATAGACCGTAGCCGGAACCCTACCGATGTACTCAAGCCAGATATTTTGGCTCCAGGGCAACAAATTTGGGCAGCTTGGAGCCCCATGAGTGTTCTAAATCCAATCTTATCAGGTAACTAAGAACAAGGATGGTAAATGCTTTTGACTAGATCAAAAACGAAAAAAATTCTGCAATAATTCGAAAATCCAATGGAAACAATGAAAAAAAATGAAATTTTTTATTCTGAAATATTCAGAAACATTGCCTGAAACATTTTCTATTGCTAATTCGTTTCGGTTTTCACATTTGCTCATTTTGATACTTCTTTTTAGTTCAATAGTCAAGAGTATCTAAGCTAGTTTAAGCCGAACTAAGGTATTCATGAAGGATAAACTACTCATAGTCTGACCTCATACAAGTGTCAATATTCAAATTCAAATTCAAAATATCTGAGTTTACAATCTATTCCTGTCACCACTTGAACAATCTTGAATTCATTTTAATACTTGACTAAGAACAAATGCTTTCTGATTTACTGTTTCATTATTGTTCTGGGACAAAATAATTTACAATGCAGGCTGTGTATATTTGATTATCAAGTTTGAGTTGCGACAGGAAACAGTTTTGCACTGATATCTGGAACCAGCATGGCAACACCCCATATTGCTGGCATAGCTGCACTCATCAAGCAGTATAATCCTTCATGGATACCATCTACGATTTTCTCTGCAATGTCAACCACTGCCAGTAAGTACAATAATCTTGGAGAACTCATAATGGCTGAAGGACCTGATATCCATAGCTTATACCCGTCTACTCCTTTCGATTTTGGTGCTGGCCTAGTCAATCCGACCCGTGCCCTGGATCCAGGCCTCGTCTTTTCATCGGGTTAGTTTTGTTAACTAGGCTGAAAATGAGCCAATCAAGCAGAGACTGTTCAAGCAGAGACTCATTCGTTTGAGAATAATGCTTGGGCTTTGCTCATTTGGGTAAACAAACTGAGCTCAAGCTTGTGTTGGGGCTTAAACTCCGATCAAGTAGAGCTTGTTCAAATTCATTTATTAAAAAAGCTCTAAAATTGGGCTCGAGCTCCGCTCATTTTATAAATGAACAAACTTAAACAAGCTCCAATACAAGCCAATGCTAAGTTTTTCATGAACATTTCGATTCATGTAGAACCTATTGTTGAACTACCAAGCTGTTACAGAAAATGTGTTTAGTTTAACAGTCGGTAGTTTCTTACATGATAATGTGATCGTGAAGCNACTTAGTAAAAAATCTCTAAAATTGGGCTCGAGCTCCGCTCATTTTATAAATGAACAAACTTAAACAAGCTCCAATACAAGCCAATGCTAAGTTTTTCATGAACATTTCGATTCATGTAGAACCTATTGTTGAACTACCAAGCTGTTACAGAAAATGTGTTTAGTTTAACAGTCGGTAGTTTCTTACATGATAATGTGATCGTGAAGCAGAATATGAGGATTACATAAGCTTCTTGTGCTCTCTACCCAACGTTGATCCAGCGACCATCAAAACTGCAACCGGAGAATTATGCAGTCGCTCTTTTGGCAACCCCTCTGATCTGAACATCCCTTCNATAGAAAATGTGTTTAGTTTAACAGTCGGTAGTTTCTTACATGATAATGTGATCGTGAAGCAGAATATGAGGACTACATAAGCTTCTTGTGCTCTCTACCCAACGTTGATCCAGCGACCATCAAAACTGCAACCGGAGAATTATGCAGTCGCTCTTTTGGCAACCCCTCTGATCTGAACATCCCTTCAGTAACCATATCAGAACTTAGAGGAACACGAACCGTGCGAAGGAGTGTCAAGAACATAGCTTGCAAGCCAGAGACCTACTTATGTGCAGTGATACCACCTAAGGGGGTGGTGGTTGAAATACATCCATCATGGTTTACAATAGCTCCACAGAAAACCCAGGTTTTGGAAATAAGACTCAATGTGACTCAAGCACTTGATGACTTCAGCTTTGGTGAGATTGTTTTAACAGGCAGTTTAAATCATATTGTGAGAATACCCTTGTCAGTGTGGCCTGTTGCGGTGTCCTAAATACAAAAGAAATAGTTTTCTTTCATGTCTTTAGTGACTGTTCTGCTGGAGTTCCGTGAAGAATAACGAAGAGCATAAAGGAAGACTAAAAGGGATACTAAGAACTTGCACAGGAGGCTCCTAAACAGCTCATAAGTAATCGGTCTAATGGCCATTACGAGATCTGGTTCCACTTTCAAATCCCTAAAACAGATAATAAGATATAGATCCACGGAGCTTGTTTGATCCCAGTTCAAAATAGAAAAGCTTGCTCGATCATCAGAACTTTTTTATTTTCTTAAATAATCTCATACACGATGACATTTATGAACGATTGCATACAAATGTAAGAGTATCTTAAATGAAATATTGAAATATTTACCTCAACTTCAACTGTAAAAGAAGCGATTTGCAACTGAAATTGTGTGACATAATTACATTCTCTTGATCTTATATTGATCTTTTTCTTTTTCGGGCATCATCTGATATTGATCAAGATTCGACACCTTTTTGCCCCGAGTCCACTTGCATTTTAATCCCCCTTCACTCTGCATAATTGCATACCAAAATTGCAAAGGCTGCCAATGAAATTAGGAAGGCTGGATACCTAATATGACATGTCAGTTGCCTCATGATCAGGAGTCTTGAAAACAAAGCCTGATTCATCACTGGATCGTCTTTTGACCACACTTGCCCTTTGCATCAATCGAACCAGTGCTTGCACAACTTCAGACATGGGGGGCCGAAACTCAGGTTCGGGCTGTGTGGAAAATGAGACTCCCAGATTAGTTTCGAATTTATCAGATACAATCTATATCATGTTATCTCAGATGACGTGCTTATGTATGACTACCAGAGATTGTTTATGCAACAGTTGCGTTCCCAAAAGACAACAAAACAACCACAAAAACCTGTATTCAGATTTAATAGCATCCATATATCAAATAGCACAAGTTCGCAGCTATGCAGAGAGGAAATTCTATGAGAAGATGAAACTAATAATTGCATGCAACATGAAATACAGCTGAGTAGCTTTTGGCTTAAAAGTCAATCAGAACTCAACCCGTCTCCCGAGTTCAAAACTTCCGGATAACCATCCCTTATTCCAAACGTTCCAGAACACAAGGTATGTTTGACCTACTTTACTGATTAATAAAAAAACATTTGCAAAGCAACTTTTGGGTCTTATACTAGTAAAAAGAACTTTACCTGAACACAGAGCGCAATGATGTCAGCAAAGCGAGACAAAGACTTTGCAGGATACATGCCATTTAGAGCAGGATCAACCATTTTTGCCAAGGCATCTATATCATGCAGTTGAGGAGTGGCCCATCTTACAAGTGACTGCTCCGTTCTCACCCTTGAGCTAAATAACCAGAGGAATAAGGAAAAGTACAAAAATCAAAATCAAGAGATTGGAGAATTTGAAAACAATTCAAAAAAACGTAACTGTGAAAATTCAGTGATGTAGGACAACCTTACCTATCAAGCGGCTTACGACCAGTCAACAACTCCAACATTACCACCCCAAAGCTGTACACGTCACTTTTTACAGTGTAAATGCCAGATAAGGTGAACTCAGGAGCACTATAACCAAATGAACCAACCATCTGAGTTGATGAAACCTGTAAAACCACAGGGAAAAAGACTATCTTAGTTGTTGCTTAGGCCTGCTTCTATATCCTGTAGCTTCTTCATCATTAGTTCCTCATTGGTATTTGCATCAAAGGGGCTTGTTTTTCACCACGAAAAAGACATATATCCGAGAGGGACAGACCGACAGACTGACATAGAGAGGAAGAGATGATTGGTCAAGAAGTCAAAAACAGCCACATTGCAAAAATGAAATGAAAGCTCATTTTCCACACCTAAAAAGTTCTGAAGGCATGCGTCTCAGTCTCTCAGACATGCATAGACCATACTTCTACAAGTAGAGGATCACCCTCTAATTTTCATGTTATTACTATGGATGCTTTCAATTAAGCGCTATAAAGTAATTATATCTTGGCACTAAAAGTTCGAACTCTGAATAATTCAACAGGGGAAGACTTCGCTTAAAAAAAATACCGCCGAGAGTTTCAATTCGTATAGCATAATTGTCTGAGAAAACCCTTAGACAAAAGCACACAGCAGCCAGATAACAGATGCCCCACCAATTTACCTGTCGCTCAGTGTTTGGTGTCAGAGCAGCTAACCCACAGTCTGACAAGTGGGGATTGAGCTCTTCGTCCAGCAAAATGTTTGCCGACTTGAAGTTTCTATGTACAACAGAAGGCAGACATACTTCATGCAAGTACCTGAGAGAACAAACATGTTTAGGATATACACCCACAGAGAGAGAGAGAGAGAGAGAGAGAGGGAGGGAGATAAAACGCATACAGATGACATACTCTAGAGCTCGAGCAGTGCCAAGTGCTACTCTAACACGTGCGTTCCATGTCAACATCTCCCTCCTATCATCGGCAAAGTGCAGCATATCATGCAAGCTCCCATTACCAATATAATCAAAAACCAGAAGACGTTGCCCATGCTCTGCACAATATCCCGCCAGTGGCACGATGTTTGGGTGCCTAAGGCGTGACATATTCGAAACAGCTTCAAGAAAATTATCTTCCTCTTGCAGTGACAGTGCTGCATTGTCGATCTTCTTAATGGCCATTATCTATAACAAGAAATACATTAAACTGATAAGTCTGCCTTTATAAATAATTAATCTATAAGCAGAACAGATAAATGCTGATACTGCAATCCAAGATGGCCAAAAACTTGCTTAATCATATATCAGGCCTATTGGCTTCAAGCAGTAAGGAAAAGGATATACACAATTAACATGGAAAATCAGTGCTGAAACATAACATCAAAATTCAGGTGTACAAAAAACCCATGAAAACCAGTGTCTTGGACATTTCACATCTAAAGAAAAGGAACTACACAAAAAAACCTCGATGAGTGGCTTAAGAGGCACAGGCAATAACACATAAATTTGCAACTAGCAGCAAGGGCATCCAGACAATCACCCAACACATATACCANGGAAGACTTCGCTTAAAAAAAATACCGCCGAGAGTTTCAATTCGTATAGCATAATTGTCTGAGAAAACCCTTAGACAAAAGCACACAGCAGCCAGATAACAGATGNGAAAGACTTTGCTTAAAAAAAATACCGCCGAGAGTTTCAATTCATATAGCATAATTGTCTGAGAAAACCCTTAGACAAAAGCACACAGCAGCCAGATAACAGATGCCCCACCAATTTACCTGTCGCTCAGTGTTTGGTGTCAGAGCAGCTAACCCAGAGTCTGACAAGTGGGGATTGAGCTCTTCGTCCAGCAAAATGTTTGCCGACTTGAAGTTTCTATGTACAACAGAAGGCAGACATACTTCATGCAAGTACCTGAGAGAACAAACATGTTTAGGATATACACCCACAGAGAGAGAGAGAGAGAGAGAGAGAGGGAGGGAGATAAAACGCATACAGATGACATACTCTAGAGCTCGAGCAGTGCCAAGTGCTACTCTAACACGTGCGTTCCATGTCAACATCTCCCTCCTATCATCGGCAAAGTGCAGCATATCATGCAAGCTCCCATTACCAATATAATCAAAAACCAGAAGACGTTGCCCATGCTCTGCACAATATCCCGCCAGTGGCACGATGTTTGGGTGCCTAAGGCGTGACATATTCGAAACAGCTTCAAGAAAATTATCTTCCTCTTGCAGTGACAGTGCTGCATTGTCGATCTTCTTAATGGCCATTATCTATAACAAGAAATACATTAAACTGATAAGTCTGCCTTTATAAATAATTAATCTATAAGCAGAACAGATAAATGCTGATACTGCAATCCAAGATGGCCAAAAACTTGCTTAATCATATATCAGGCCTATTGGCTTCAAGCAGTAAGGAAAAGGATATACACAATTAACATGGAAAATCAGTGCTGAAACATAACATCAAAATTCAGGTGTACAAAAAACCCATGAAAACCAGTGTCTTGGACATTTCACATCGAAAGAAAAGGAACTACACAAAAAAACCTCGATGAGTGGCTTAAGAGGCACAGGCAATAACACATAAATTTGCAACTAGCAGCAAGGGCATCCAGACAATCACCCAACACATATACCATTCTGTAAATTCAATTGGTTAAATTGCATATAGCTCACCACAATCAAAATGTGCAAAAAAAAAAGCAGTACTGGAAGACGGGTTTCAAAGTTAATTAATGACTAATGAAGTTTTCCCTGAGCATCTACTTGAAATTTGCCTACACATTAATGAAATTTGCAGTTAATGTCCAACAGCACAGCGAGTCAACAACTACGCCTCTAACAAAAGTTGTTAGGGCTTTGGGTGAAGGTACAGCTTGATAGGCAGACTAGGAAAACCCATGTGGTAGGTGTAATGCAAAGAGAAATTAAATTGAGAATTCTGTAGTTAATGGGTTTAAACAAACAATTTTTCGACAGCTTCCTTTTATCAATCATTAAGCTTTGATGACAATAGAAGGTGCATGCTTCCTAAGCAGGAAACCATCATGATTAACCACTACCGGAATGGATTGAATACAAGGAAACAGAGAAGGGTGTTGCAAGTTATAAGTAACTGGCTTGTTCTCCTTCAGTGTGCTATAAGTTTGGGTACCCCCAGGAAGCACAGATTCGGATATGGTATGCAGGTACGTTACGATACAAATACGGTAACATGACAGAACCTAAAAAAAATAGGATACTAATATAGCCAAAATATGTCTAAAACAAAATATATTTTATATTTCTTACTGGATTTGATAATTATAATTTGTGGTAATTTTTTTAATAACAATTCAGATAGATCATTAATATTTACTTTCAAATAAGCATTGATCGTTTTATCATCGTATACCCACAAATTGAGCGTGACTAATTAGAAGTGCGAATAAATTGGGTATAATTNTGCATATAGATCATTAATATTTACTTTCAAATAAGCATTGATCGTTTTATCATTGTATACCCACAAATTGAGCGTGACTAATTAGAAGTGCGAATAAATTGGGTATAATTAACTCATTTTATGTGATTTTCATATGTGGTAGTACCCAATACTTAAGAATGTTAGAGCCTCCCACCCAAAATCAATTGATAATGAGTGGAGAGACCCCCACAAACATATAAACCAACCTTGAATGTCCTAATCATTCGATGCGGGATATAAACATTCATTACACCCTCCCTCACATGGGATCTAGGCTCCCACGTGAGGCTAACAAACAAACATGCATACTAGGATATTTAAATGGGACCACCTAAGGCTCAGATCTGATACTATATGAGAGCATCTAATACAAAACCAACTAGCAATGAGTATAGAAACCCTAAAGCATATAAACTAACCTTGGGTGGTCCTAATCATTCAATATGGGATACAAGTTCTCTTTACAACATCTACATATCTTCAAAGTCATATGGATTTTTTTGTATGTGTATCATTGAATGTGAGTTCAAGAGAAAAGGCTCAAAATTTATTGCACTTCCTATCCACTTTCATATCTTAAGTATATTCATCTTAGTACCTCTATTCAAGACATATCCAAAAATGAATATTTTATCAAATATGGATACTTGTAATGCGTTATCCAACACATATCCAAAAATATATAAATACTTCATTAATTATGGACGCTTCAATATGCATCTTCAAGTATCCGATGAGTATTGTATCTAATATGGTATCCGATATTGATACTTTGACCTGTATACGTGCTTCATAGGGGTATACACTATGAAGAGAAGGTGGGGTTGGATGAAAGACTACTAAACTTCCAGAATCAAATCAATCAAAGACCGGATGAAAGGGATCAAGCACTGCCATGGTCTCCTGGAGTTTTTTCTCATGACTGTTCAATGCTACAGCAGCAAGATTATTAACCATCTATATACAGCCATCATGGCATCCTGTTGAGAATTTTTGCCCCACAAAAGACATTCCTATGCTCCACTAAAAGATTGCCACAATGCAACAGAAGTGACTCGCCTCCGCATCAACGCATAAGTGCTAAGCCCGTTAGAACTATTAGGGATCGTAAACATATGTGATGTCAATAGACGCATGCCAACATAGCCATAACAAGATAAAATTACCTTTCCATTGGAAAATTCTGCTCTATAAACGCGACCAAGTGAGCCTTCACCAACAATATTTTCTTGACTAAAGCTATTTGTTGCCATTTGGAGAGCTGCAACTGTATAAGGCGCAGCAGTTATAGGGGACTTCACTCTCTTTACAGATCCATTTTTCCCTTGCATCCTCTCAACCAACTCATTCTCTGCAGGTGGTGGCTTCAAATCTACAACGGTAGCTGTAGATTTTACCCTTTGCTCTTGCATCTCTGTATTCACTACATAGCAAAGCAGAATGCATCAATGAATAGGTCAGGATACCAATGACAAGAACAAATTCCAAAGCACAAAAACATCAANTTAACTCATTTTATGTGATTTTCATATGTGGTAGTACCCAATACTTAAGAATGTTAGAGCCTCCCACCCAAAATCAATTGATAATGAGTGGAGAGACCCCCACAAACATATAAACCAACCTTGAATGTCCTAATCATTCGATGCGGGATATAAACATTCATTACACCCTCCCTCACATGGGATCTAGGCTCCCACGTGAGGCTAACAAACAAACATGCATACTAGGATATTTAAATGGGACCACCTAAGGCTCAGATCTGATACTATATGAGAGCATCTAATACAAAACCAACTAGCAATGAGTATAGAAACCCTAAAGCATATAAACTAACCTTGGGTGGTCCTAATCATTCAATATGGGATACAAGTTCTCTTTACAACATCTACATATCTTCAAAGTCATATGGATTTTTTTGTATGTGTATCATTGAATGTGAGTTCAAGAGAAAAGGCTCAAAATTTATTGCACTTCCTATCCACTTTCATATCTTAAGTATATTCATCTTAGTACCTCTATTCAAGACATATCCAAAAATGAATATTTTATCAAATATGGATACTTGTAATGNTAATCTTAGTACCTCTATTCAAGACGTATCCAAAAATGAATATTTTATCAAATATGGATACTTGTAATGCGTTATCCAATACATATCCAAAAATATATAAATACTTCATTAATTATGGACGCTCCGATATGCATCTTCAAGTATCCGATGAGTATTGTATCTAATATGGTATCCGATATTGANTCATCTTAGTACCTCTATTCAAGACATATCCAAAAATGAATATTTTATCAAATATGGATACTTGTAATGCGTTATCCAACACATATCCAAAAATATATAAATACTTCATTAATTATGGACGCTTCAATATGCATCTTCAAGTATCCGATGAGTATTGTATCTAATATGGTATCCGATATTGATACTTTGACCTGTATACGTGCTTCATAGGGGTATACACTATGAAGAGAAGGTGGGGTTGGATGAAAGACTACTAAACTTCCAGAATCAAATCAATCAAAGACCGGATGAAAGGGATCAAGCACTGCCATGGTCTCCTGGAGTTTTTTCTCATGACTGTTCAATGCTACAGCAGCAAGATTATTAACCATCTATATACAGCCATCATGGCATCCTGTTGAGAATTTTTGCCCCACAAAAAACATTCCTATGCTCCACTAAAAGATTGCCACAATGCAACAGAAGTGACTCGCCTCCGCATCAACGCATAAGTGCTAAGCCCGTTAGAACTATTAGGGATCGTAAACATATGTGATGTCAATAGACGCATGCCAACATAGCCATAACAAGATAAAATTACCTTTCCATTGGAAAATTCTGCTCTATAAACGCGACCAAGTGAGCCTTCACCAACAATATTTTCTTGACTAAAGCTATTTGTTGCCATTTGGAGAGCTGCAACTGTATAAGGTGCAGCAGTTATAGGGGACTTCACTCTCTTTACAGATCCATTTTTCCCTTGCATCCTCTCAACCAACTCATTCTCTGCAGGTGGTGGCTTCAAATCTACAACGGTAGCTGTAGATTTTACCCTTTGCTCTTGCATCTCTGTATTCACTACATAGCAAAGCAGAATGCATCAATGAATAGGTCAGGATACCAATGACAAGAACAAATTCCAAAGCACAAAAACATCAAACAGAGTATTCCTATAGCACAGCTTTGGCATATATTAAGGAATGAACTTGTACAATTCACATCAAATTTCCAGTAAATGACTCGATGCAACTTTATTTAAATTGCCAAAGCTAAGCACCAAGTTACCAATAGAATACATTTCAGCCAACGGTTAAAGATAAAAATGTACCTTTACCTGCGCTAACAGGAAGACTTCCCGCAGAGGGTCNGTTGGTTTTTTTATGGAGTCTAGTTTGTATATGCGATCCGGATGATGACCCGACTTGAAGTAATGTTTGTGTGGTTTTTAATGGGAAATTTTCTGAGGCTTAGTCTATGGAGCGAAGGCTTGGACCGATAGGCCCAAGCCGTAGCGCTCATGGACAAGTCTCGTGGGGGTTCGGGGGCAANGCGCAGCAGTTATAGGGGACTTCACTCTCTTTACAGATCCATTTTTCCCTTGCATCCTCTCAACCAACTCATTCTCTGCAGGTAGCGGCTTCAAATCTACAACGGTAGCTGTAGATTTTACCCTTTGCTCTTGCATCTCTGTATTCACTACATAGCAAAGCAGAATGCATCAATGAATAGGTCAGGATACCAATGACAAGAACAAATTCCAAAGCACAAAAACATCAAACAGAGTATTCCTATAGCACAGCTTTGGCATATATTAAGGAATGAACTTGTACAATTCACATCAAATTTCCAGTAAATGACTCGATGCAACTTTATTTAAATTGCCAAAGCTAAGCACCAAGTTACCAATAGAATACATTTCAGCCAACGGTTAAAGATAAAAATGTACCTTTACCTGCGCTAACAGGAAGACTTCCCGCAGAGGGTCTTGGAGCAAGTTCCTTCCTTTTGCCCTTTCGAAGGCAAAAAACAAGTGCAAGTAGTGAAAATAGAACAACCAATGAAGAACCTAGAATTATGCCTATAAGAGGTCCAGTTGTCAACCAGTTATTTTTTTTCCCGCCGTCTGGATTGGATGATTGGCCATCAAAGCCCTGGGGTGTACGTGCACCAGGAGGAGACTGGCTGCGATTGTTATGAGTTCTACCAGGAGGAGGTGGGGTATACGGTGGTGGAGGAGGAGCAGGGCCATTATCAAATGAATTCCCATTATATCTGTATTATTTTTGGTGTTACATCAGAATATTTTAAACTTGTAAGAACAGAACATGTATAAGCCTAGTAAGAAAGCGAGATATATCACTTACACAAAATTTGGGATAGAATTAAAATCTTGTGGTATCCATCCACTGAAATTGTTGTTTGCAACATTTCTGCAATAAACATAGTGGTTTAAGAATAACTGTCATATTTCCAACCCAAGCCCCTATAAGAAGAAGAAGAACTTACAGATCCATCAAAGGCAAACTAGCCAGAACATCAAGAGAACCACTTAATTCATTGTTCTGCACATGACTGTCACAAATGCATATACTATAAGAATCTCAAACAGAACTCAGCCAAAAAAATTCAACAATTAGCACTTTATTATACTCACAGGGTAGAAAGATTTGACAATGAACCGAAGGAGGGGGGTAGATCTCCGGTAAAATTGTTGAAAGACAGATCCCTATATTACATGCATTTCAATTCACCATGAGAGGAATCCAGCGTCGTAGGCATGTGCAATGTTACGTGTACAACACTATGAGATACCACGTTAAGTAATGACTTACCATCAAAATTTAATAGAAACTGTTGATGTTCTTAGTAGGATAGTCAACTCAGAGACCACAATTAGTGAGCATCAACAACAGGCATCAAGCAAAATTCTTTTGCAAAGTGGATAACAAGACAATTTACGATTATCATAGAGTATGTTGATTTTCGAAGCAGATTCGATTATGAAGAACAAGGTATGCAACTGAAAATGTTTCAGAATAAGCATGGCCAAGATAGAAACCACTGGCACACTAGAATTAACCAAGTAAAACTGGAAGCATGCAAATAGGAAAGAAATTGCAATTGGCCACCGGGAGATATCCAGCAGTGATCATTTTGCTTACTGAATTCCACCATCCATACAAAAATGGGAATATTCAAGGGGATTTAACAAAGATGGACTAGATTGGGGAAGACGATAAGTGGCTCATCAAGTCTTGGGTAATGGGCACAGACTAATCAAAGCAAATGAAGGACTTCAGATTTGGAAAACCAATGAACGAAAATTTAAGAAAGATACGATTCTACAACAAGAGCTCAGCAAAAGTAAGTACATTAATTACTGATTATAAGAATAAGCAAAAAAATAGAAACAAATGCTCATCACAAATTGGTAGCAGCATCTCTTGAGGACAGCGGGTTCAAAATCAGCTTATACAGTTTGCAATGCACAACAATGACCAATAGAAAAACAAGTTGGAACAATGTACATAAATTTGAACCAGTCAGCATACAATTGCAAAAACCACTGTCATCCTAGCCAGTAAATATAAGGTCTTACAAATTACTAAGGGCAGGCAATCTGGCATCAATTTTCATTGAAGAGAACATAGATAAGAATGTGCTTATGCACGTTTATATATTTATCTCCACTGCGTCCAACAATTTCTTCCTGAGGTCATACAATCAGCCTCAATGTTTTCCCTAGTAAACTGTAGAGTAGATGGTATACTAAATCATATGATATGTAATTGATCACAGAAAACAAAAACATAGAATCATATAGCAGGAATAGTTAAATATAGAATTAAAACTGTAGCAGGGGAAATAAAAAAAAATTATGTGGTTACATTAACATAAAGTGGAGAGAAGATCAAAAAGTCACAGCATCACTATTTTATGAGGTCAAACGAGATTAATAGAAAACTTATTCACACCAATGCTAGTAAAGTATGGAATTATATTAATTTGACTAAACCCAATCTGAAAGCTGAACATTTCTGGTTTACTTAGCAGATTTTCCCGTTAAAAAAAAACAATTCGTACAAAAGAGATATTAAAAAAATATCACAAAGATAGATCTCCTTTCCAATATAGATGCCAAAAATGAATGGTTGACAATTTTACTAATGACAACAAAGAGGAGAAATATATGACCAACTCAAGTGACCGAAGTCTGTCGAGACAACTTTAGAAAGTTCAACAGGTGTGTATGGATGAAACTCAGATCGATACGATACAACGTGATATTACAATCACTAGTTGACATTTCACCAGTTCAGACTATATGAATAAAGAAACTACCAGAAGACCCCAACAGCATCAGTAGGACAATAAAGATGTATTAAAGCAGATATCTTACACAGTCACGAGGTCAGAATGATTAGCAAACACATCTCCAATTGATTGAGATAGCATATTACGGCTGATGTTCCTAAAACAAAGAATAGAATAAATTACTCCCCAAATAACTGAAATGAAATTTATCAAAGAATAATAACAAACTTGAATAGAATTCAAGATGTGCCACTCACAAATAACTAAGAGACGCCATGCCAATAATGGAAAACGGAAGATTCCCGCTCAAGTTGTTGCTTGCAAGATTTCTGCATTATAGAAAAAGATGACCCTTTCACTTCAAGTAGTTAAATTGGATGGCTTCTAAAAAAAACAGAACATTCAATAAATGGTTTGTATATTACAGGTTTGTAAGGTTTGGCGGTAACTGGTACGGAATGGCATCGTGGATGTTGTTTCCACTCAAATCCCTAAAACAGGCATTGGTCCATAGTTAAAATAATAATCAATCAGGTAAAATTCAAAGAAAAAAAATTATAACTACAGTTGCTTGTTATGGTAAAGGATATTCTCACAGTGTTCTCAATGATGCAAGGTTGTTGAGCAAGTATCCCATTGTCCCACTGACTCCTAACCCGGAAATTTGACTGTCAAAACGACCAAAATGCGTCTCACGACTCAAACTAATGCACTGATAAAACAACAATATAAAATCTGAAAATTGGCGTCTCCTCTGATATAAAGCCTGCTTTGAGATAATAAACACTCACATAGACACAACAGCAGAGCCCTGGCAAGTGATCCCTTTCCATGACTCCCCACATGGATCACCACCATTGGATTTCCAACTGGTTAGCTGTGAGGGACTGTTCAACGAAGCGAACATCACTTGAAGTGCCTGAACTGTAATTCAAAACCACCACATTCAAATCAAATAAATCTAGTAGACATTCGCATCAAAATGTTCATCACACTTATANGAATTTCCAACTGGTTAGCTGTGAGGGACTATTCATCGAAGCGAACATCACTTGAAGTGCCTGAACTGTAATTCAAAACCACCAAATTCAAATCAAATAAATCTAGTAGACATTCGCATCAAAATGTTCATCACACTTATACATACATACATGAACATCCACACATATGATATCAAGATCCCTCATTTATGTAGCAAAGGCTCAACCTTTGACATGCGTTGACTCTCAACCTCATCAGCAACCAAAACAGAGTAGCTCAAAGCTCACCAATCACACCACTTTTTACGACATAAATCCCAAATTCACATAAAATCATTTCAAAATCCTCATTTTAATAGCAAATATTCGATTTTTATCTCGCATGAACTAGCAACCTTATCACATGCTAATAAATTGTAGCCCAAACTCGCCAATCAGGTCACATCATTGAATCATTAAACCAATCAAATCAACACAAAACAAAAATTTATAATCATCAGAAAGAAAAACAGATTACCATCATTCGGATCAGTAGTTCCTTCAACAACATTAAAAACCAAGATTGTCGTAATGACGAACACAACAAACTCAGAGAGAAACCGAGAGACCGATGTTGAGCATGCTCTGTTCCTCTCCATTTCTGTTCTGTACAAATGACCACAGTTAGAGAGCTGGTATTACCTACAGGACATGCAAGAGACGAGCCATTGAAGGGAAGGCAAAGAAGAAAATGAGCTGACATGGTTCGCGGTTGGTGTCGCCATTGAAGAAAAGGACTGTGTGAGATTCGAAGCTTGGAGTAAATGTGTATCTATCTATATCTATATATTATACGTGTCGGCAAAATGTGGAAAAAAATTATAAAAGAAACAGTGTGAATTAGTTGGTTTGGAAGTAGGCAAGCAACGTATGACAATTTCACACTCGCTTTTCCGGCTCTCCCCCTCTCTCTCTCTCTCTCTTCTCTGTAAACGAGAAGAGCAAAGAGTATTTAAATGCGAGGGACAAAATGACCATATGGCACTTGTGATCGGTGGTAATTGAGGTAATGTCATTCGGAGTTAAATAGATTCTACTCAATTTTGTAATTACTCGCTCTATATAATATAATATAATAATTATCCACGTTTATAAATAGGGGCCTATTTTATCTATTTTTATTTTTATTAAATAGTAATACCACGTAACAATAATAATATAATATTACTGATGAAACGTTATACGCAATTCAACAGAGGTGAACTGTTTAGAGAACGTTGACGGGGGTTTATTGGGATATTCAGTTAACGATTCTGGACTATTGGGGGTTGAACAATTGATTCAGAAGTTAAATAGCTACGAATAAAGATGGGAATTTATAATGGTACATCAATTCAAAAGTTTGACTAATACATTCTAATGAAGTCACTTGTTCCTGCAAGAGTTTTCTATTACTTGGGATAGAAAGTTACAGAATTACATAAAGTCAATGGCACAGATGATTGATCGATTACAATACGAGAAATTTAATTCCTATTTATAATATATAGTTATCTGGTGTGATTTGCGATCCTCTCGTAACTAACACGATTCTTGCATAATCAATGTGATCCCCTTAGTGATGGAAAGACAATATTATAGAAATTGTTATCCAATAAAATGAGATAAAAAAAAAATTATTTTATTTTACTATATGATGTTCAAGTTTACACCGACTACTCTCTCAAACTTAACAATTAAAATTAATATTTCATTTATTTAGGTAATTCAATCAAAGTCCTAAAACTTTGACTTTGACTTTCATTGAAAGGTCCTATTCTACTCTTCTTTTTCAGCTACTGCATTAACTATTTTTATAAAATGTTCGTTGTATTTGAAGTTTGATAGTAGAAAAAAGAGGTGTGAATAATATCTTTTACCAAGTGTACTCTGGGTCTGGGGTGCCTTCGGATTGGAGGTAGCATCAAAATTATTCCCTACTGAAATAGAAGACATTGTCTAGGTCGTGATGCGTATTAGATTCCTTTGACGAACTAAAATAACTAAGAATCCAAGGCTAATCACCATGCAATCATTTTGGTCCACAAATCAGGAGGAAGACTACAATACCTTCTTTAGTAGAAAAGCTAAGTTACAACAACTTTGGAGTGTAATCCTATGCTTTGTTTAATGATAATGATGAATCTTAGTTGGAGAATATATAAATCTCAATACCCATGATCCAACAAAAAGAAAATATCAAACCCATATGGGTAAAACCAAGAAACTCTTTCTACAACCTTGTATTCAAATTCAGGTGAGGAGCAGTTTAATGGAGAAAACAACAGTTATAGGAGGCAGGCAGCCTCAAGAAGTCATTGTGAATGGGGTTATCAAACAAGTGGGGCCTATTTCAAGGTAGAGGTCATACGTTCCATCATTTTATTACCCATTGCTCAATTATTTCTCACCTGTCACTTCTCTTTGTCCCATGTGTGCTATGTTATCTCAGTTCAGATCTGTAATTCTGTCACAATTTTGCATTTATATCGTTATAAACACGAAAATAGTTTACATGGTCACACGGGTTAAGATTCTCATCGTATGATTATGGTGCATAAAAGGTAATCGATGCAGTTAGATACAACTTCAGATGATCGGGATGCTTCCAAGGTAGTAGTTAGTCTAGAACTTGCCACGAATGGTTGGTATTAAACTTCTTTCTAGACCACTAATTTTCTATACATTATTTTCTAATATAAAGTGAAGGAATCTTAAACTATTGTTAAATGAAGTGGTTCGTTGGAAGGTCTAGCTAACAAACGCCAAAAAATATTTAGTATAGAGATAGAGACAACCAAACTTGCCAGTAGGCAGAAAATTAATGTAAATCCACTTATTTGTCTTCGTATCGCTTGCTTTAAAACAATATTATTTTGACTATGTAAATTTAAAGTTGCGCTTGAAATTAAAATGTATGTAATACATCAATCCAGAGGTTTTATGACTNTCTTCGTATCGCTTGCTTTAAAACAATATTATTTTGACTATGTAAATTTGAAGTTGCGCTTGAAATTAAAATGTATGTAATACATCAATCCAGAGGTTTTATGACTATGGGCTGTTGCCAGCCTAAGGCGTGCACAAGTAACTGAGTTGGTTCTTGCCACTGACAAGCATGAAGGGGAAATTTAATGAAGGAAAATCATTGTTCAATTTGATTGGTTTGGTGAGGTAGGACCAATATTCAATTGTAAATAAGCATGCTTTGTCCAAACTCTCTTGCATGCTTAAAAAGAAGTAAAGAACCACGATTTCATATACCATAGTACCAACATAGCATTCTATTGAAAAAGCTAAAACTATAATAACCACTAAAAGGCATCAACTCAGTGTGTGTGTGTGTGCGTGTACACATTGATCAGGGCAAGTTAGCCATTCAACTAAAAGAGGAAGAAGCCTTATGCCACTGGGGCAGNGTGCGTGTACACATTGACCAGGGCAAGTTAGCCATTCAACTAAAAGAGGAAGAAGCCTTATGCCACTGGGGCAGAAAGCAACACCAGTTCTAAGAAATTTTTCAATGGATGTTGCTGCAACCCAATGAGCAGTCTCCTTGGAAGACCTTGGTCTATGATAAAACATCGACTCGAAGCTGCATAATCTAATAATGCATTCCAACAATTGAGGCCGGTTTCTTTCCCAAAGTAATTGGCTGATTCAGACTAATTTTCCAATTCTCCTAATCTGGATGAGCAAAAACTCCAATGAATTTCAAATCAAATGGAACTCAAGGAATCCTCACAAACCTTAGTGGAGATCGGACAGAGGTTCAATATTGGGATGTGGAATTGAGCAAAACAGAGAGTAGACATAGTGGAGTGTTGAATAGTAGATCTAAGGCTAACTTAAAAATCATTCGTAAGGAGCAAGCACAGTTGATTTCTAAGTTGCTTGGCAGTGGCATGTTTCATATATTTGTGTATAATCAGACCTATAAACCTCCAATCAGGGGGTTGTCTACAATCAACCTTCCTGACTCTGGGAATTTTACTCTTCAGCATTGATCATTAACATCAAGTTCACCTTTTCACAATTTATTGCATAGAGAGCATAAATATGTGCAAATGCTGGTAAATTTTATAACTTTTCAACTGGGAACCCAGTAACAGGTTTTGTTTCTGATGCCAAAGAACGAAGCTCGACGATTTCTTCATCAGAAAGTCTCCATCCCAGTGCACCTGCAAATTCTGTGGCCTGTTCTTTATTTTTTGCTCCTGGGATGGGGACAACATTCTCCTGGGCTATTAGCCAGTTGAGGACTACCTGGGGAAATAAGCCAATATTATTGACACAATTATGCATGACGAGTTGATCATGATAAGCATTTCGTTGAAAGCAAGAAATCATTTCCACATTTATATTAGTTGCACTAATGTTTCTTGTGACAATTGAACTGGAGTTTCTCAGTGTTAAAATCTAGTATAGGACCACTTGTGTGTAGCTTGGAGCAAATGCAAGAGAACAGTATGAACATGTAAGGAGGTCTTTTAATGAAAGATGAATTGTGAAGTGCGCGCACAGGCTTTTTAATGCTCATAAAAGTAGTGACTTTAACAAATGTAGTAGGGCACATATAGATTCAGGGTTTATGAGCTGACTAAACTATAAAACACATGCTCATAATAGAAAAGACAGAACCTGTGTCGGAGTTTTACCGTAGGTCTGTCCAATCTCCTTTATTCTGTTTATGAGAGGTTGTAGCTGCAGGACACAAAAAATACTTCAGCAATTGATTGATAAATATCGAAGCAATGGACATCCCTATATTACCCCGGGCTTACTCGAGTTAGAAACTCAGGAGTGTAAATCTGGCGTCGAGGACCAGTGGGAGGCTTCTCTGGTGTATACTTTCCTGTCAGAGCGCCTGCAAAATTTCCTATGTTTCACTCACATGAACCAGTGATGATGTCATGCCTAGATTGGACCAAATAATAAGCCACAGGAAATGAACCAGTCAAGGTCAAAAGTTTCAAAGTCTTGGAAGCTTTTAGGAGGCTGGTAAAAACCGTTTATTTTTCTTATCTACTATGCTGACACAACAAAAATATCAAAACAAAGTTGCCATTTGCCAAACAAGAAGGATTTACATCGAAGAGCTAATGAAATAACCAGAGCAAGGACTGGTTCAACATGGTGGAATTTTATTTTTCAAATTAAAGGGAAGAGGAAGAGTAGTATCCAGCCCTAGGCCCACTCCCAGTCAAATGGTTTAGAGAACAAAAAAAAAAGGTGTAAAGTATCGGTCAGTAGTTTATATCAACCTTACGAGTGAGGCCTTTAGTTCTGTGGTATGACATAACAAACCACCCAAGCATACCAAAACTGTTGGCAACTGCATTGATATTGAAGGATATGCCCTATCTAAAAATCGATATGCATCCTGAAGCAAGAACACATGCGGTTAATAACCTTGAGCAATAGGTGAATATGCGATCAAACTGATCCCCAGTTCATCACAGGTAGTCTTCACACCATTCTCCTCTGGAAGCCTGTATATGAGACTGTAATTAACTTGGTTTGAAGCCAATGGGACACCTCTCTTTCCAAGTTGCTCATATGCCTTGCGAAGTCGCTTTTCTGAAACAAGAACCACATCCATTAACCACAATATGGAAGAAAAGCCAGGGAATTATTGTCAAATTAATAACTTGCTGCATACATAAAAAATCACAGTACCATCCTGATAAGAAAAATAGAAGTAAAGAAATATAGGCAATTAATAACATACCAAAGCATATGTATATATAGCTTGCAAGAACAATAAACAGATTAAATTAGGGTGATACCATTATAGTTAGATACACCAACAGCTTTCACAAGACCCTGCTCCACAGCATCCCCAAGTCCATCAATATATCCTGAAAAATCATTTTCCAATAAACTAAGCTTCTTCCGACCTGACCATGACCAAAAATTAACGCTCAATTCTTCTTGCTACATAAACTCAATTTGTAATGAAACGAGGGCCTTATTCATGAACAACCTTCATTTCCCCATACTCCCGGCCTGAAAAATTTATTGCAAACATATTTGTAAGTCAATATCTTTTTGATGGAATGATAGAGGTAGATAATTAACTTGAATGCTGATAGAACACAGACCAATGGAGTTGATAGAGGTCCACAGAAGAAAGCCCGAGACGACAAAGGGAATCCTTAAGTGCAGTGAGGACACTCTGCCGACCAAGCCTCCATGGTAATGCTGCAAATTTGGTAGCAACAGAAATCTCGACTTCTGGATTCCTTTCTTTCCTTTCCTTAATAAATCTTTAAGAGAAAAGTTAAATTTGATAACCAGAACAACCAAAGTAAAGTAGAGTTCAAGCTTCAAAGTATTCTTCCTAAGGTAAGTTTTTCCAACAAGAAACACTATGAATAAAATTTCACAACGTACCTTCCCAGTAGTGTTTCAGAATTTATTGCACCTAACGAGAACTGCAAGCACAGTAAATGATAATTCCATTTGATCATTACCTTTCTCATGCAAGTTAGTGGAGCAAAAAATTACAGCATTAATCAAATCCCTCTCACCCTTGAGCCATACACCTCAGCAGTATCAAAGAAGGTTATACCACAATCAACACTGGAATCAAAAGCAGCCTTAGCTGCCTTCATCTTCCTATCTGCCTCATCACAAAAGATTTAAAAATGCAAATGTCACAACAGAAATTCCAACAGGAACATGACGTAGAACCACCCGTCATATTCATAGAAGCTACTAATGAAAAATAGAGCAATCTAATATCCACCATAAACAAAAAGTAGACTAAATTTTGGAATTGAAACGATAGACAGTTTGATATTCTGGCAGAAAAGATAGAGACTTCTGCAATTCCTAGTTTTTATGCTCACGATTATGTGCATTTTAAAAGGACACCCACGATGGTCTTTATCAAGCAAAATGTCAACAGAATATATAGAATCATGTGCAATCCTGAAATGCATTGGACCCATTATAAACTCTACCAGAAAAGGAATCGCAAATATGAATGCACGACTCATTCAGCTGAACTGATCCTGAAACCCATTGGATACTGATTGATTTCTACCAGAAAAGGAAGAATAACATATAATGGACGCATTCAGCTGAACGAATATAAATAGAATTCTATGAAAGAGGAAAACACACATAAAATAAGCTTAATCAGCTGAACAAATAGTACTTACTAGGTTGAATCAATAAACACATTCATCAGAATTGGAAAAAAATACATACACAAANCACATTGGATACTGATTGATTTCTACCAGAAAAGGAAGAATAACATGTAATGGACGCATTCAGCTGAACGAATATAAATAGAATTCTATGAAAGAGGAAAACACACATAAAATAAGCTTAATCAGCTGAACAAATAGTACTTACTAGGTTGAATCAATAAACACATTCATCAGAATTGGAAAAAATACATACACAAAAGACTTAAGCTTTCACTTAAAAGTTAAACACACCAATATACAAAGAAGTAAAAAAAAATTAAGCAATAACTCCTACAAAAAAAAAATCTTAGCAGCACCTAGCCCCTGTCTACCTNACATTCATCAGAATTGGAAAAAAATACATACACAAAAGACTTAAGCTTTCACTTAAAAGTTAAACACACCAATATACAAAGAAGTAAAAAAAAAAATAAGCAATAACTCCTACAAAAAAAAAATCTTAGCAGCACCTAGCCCCTGTCTACCTGTTCCAATGAAGCTATGACCATTTTAGGTAAAAGAATCTGCTAATACAAAAACTTATGAAAGATGCTAAGAATATTCAATATCCTTGATTACAACCACCAACTTGAACAAGAATAATAGAAGACTACCATCAAAAGGGTACTCCAATACTTCAAATTTGTTTAAACAACTTACCATCCCATTCAAAGTTGTTCCAGTAACTGGTGTCACCCCATGACCAAGCTCCAATCCCAAGCTTTGTCACCTTCAAGTCAGAACCCCCCAACTTTACCTTATCTTCTTCTGTTTTGATGGCAAAGTCCTCGGAAGCAACGGCTCTGATTCTCTGCACTTTCCTGTGGCTGAATGCACACAAGCATGCATTGCTCAAATGCAGAGCCATGGCTTCGCGCAATCAGTTACGACACACAAATCTAAATGGATTTTTACTTTCCAATAAGCAAACTTGTTTTTCAGAAGGCTCTGAAATGAAGAATCCGTTGAAAATGCAGAGAAATTTTGTTCTAAGGAGGTTTTTAACAAAAATAAGTGTCTTTTTGTCGGGAGTGAGAAAGTGGCGAGACATGGTGCTAGAAAAGTACACGTCTGATCTTCATCCCGGTGCTCCCGGCCACATGAATCCCGTGAAATACGGAAAATTTCATTTTGTACCGTTCCCAATTAAATTTATTATATTATACCCTTCATATTTATATAATAAAATAATTTTCAATTCAAATCTTAAAAATAAATAAAATAATTTTGGATTAATCTCATTTTACACCCTAAAAGATTGTTCAAATCTCAATTTGTACCCTCAAAGATAAAAAATCTCAATTTGTACTCTCAAAGATAGAAATTTGTATCAATGTGCATCCCCAAAGATAAAAAATCTCAATTTGCACTCTCAAAGATAGAAATTTGTATCAATGTGCACCTAAAATTAAATTGATAAATTATACCTAAATCCCCTCATGTTTGTCACTTAATCATTTGAACTCTTTCACATTTAAAATATTCTTCTTACATCTCATGACGTTTGTGCATGTNATTAATATTTAAATTCTTTTATCTCTCTTCTATGTTTGTGATTTAATTTTAGATATGAATATAAATATATTTATTGTTTACTATTTTTTATTATTCTGTATTTTTAGGCACAGACAATAACTAGTTTTAAACATATTATAATACGATCTTTTGTTAATTTATGTTTCTTATTCAGGATAACGAAAACAAAAAATACCATATTATAATATTTTTAGGGCTCGTTTGGTTGTCGTATTAAAAACGGATGGATTAGATAAAATAATTCGATCTAATACAATACAGAAAAATAAAAGATAAAACTAAATAGGGTATTAAAATAATACATAATTTTATCTAGTATTTAGTAATACACAATATAAACATTGGATTATAATTATTTAATCTAATCGGTTGTTTGATTAAGAAATTATTTGATAGTATTAATGTTGAATTAACAAACATACACTCAATTAGTGCTTGTTAGATTGATAACAATTTGATTTTATTAGTTGAGGGTTATAATGATAAATGTGTAAAATATATAATATGTTTGAGTTACTCTGGATTATAATATCATATTTTTTTGTGGTATTAAAATATCCGTATAATACAGGTTTAATGTATAAACAATATACGATTAGTATATATTTTTTTAAATTAATACAATATCAAATTTGTTTACCAAATAAAATATTAGGCCCAATTAAATAAAAAAAAAGTATAATTCAATATTTAATCCCCTCATAATACATCTATTAAACGAGCCCTTAATGTATTGATATACAAAATTTAATCTTTAAAAGTAAAAAAAAAAAAACTTTTTAGGGTATTAAGTAGGACTGTCAATTTTTAACACGACGCGAATCAAACACAAAATTAATAGGTCGAATACGAAATTAAACGAGTTAATAGGTTAAAACGTGTCATGCTCCATCCTAGTCAATCAAGGATGAGACACGACTAGATTTTTTATACACCTGTTTACAATTATTATAATCTGGACTAATCAAACATTAAATAAACTCACAGGTGCAACAACACCACCCATCACCTTAGTCATTGAACATGATGGTAAAACTTGTCTCATAACTTGTACCATATATTAAACACATGTACCAATTGATTGTTACCCAGGTTATAGACATATACAAAATCTCACACCCACATAGCATACATCACAAAATATGTTTGTTGAGTTTATTTACAAATATATACTATTAACCTGTCATAATATTCTCTCACAAATATAATACACAACCTAGAAATTAGTCATACTAACACTCAATCTGAGTGATATTACACTAACGTTGTACAAGACTCAATCAACTGGACAGTGGATTGATCTGCATCCTCCTCTATAATACCTGGAAAGAATAAGCTATAGGGGTGTAAGCTAAATCACGCGTTCGGTGAGTGTACATGTNTGAGCTAAATCACGCGTTCGGTGAGTATACATGTTATATATGAAATGGAAATGATAGTAATACACTGAAATAGGTAGATACACGTATCAAACAACAACATCAATCTAATTTTAAAGAATTTACAAGTCATATCACATTCATACTACCCCTCAACGGGTGATCGATTCCACATGGATCCGTGTCTCTTGAACTTCCCGGGAACACCACAATGCTAGCACACCACTGTACGCTCAGTGATCAAGCATCGACACCCCTGCCTCAAATAATACGCCACATTCCACAATACATAATACACAGTACAAAGTATGAGTCAATTACATAAGCACATAAAACATAATCCTAGAGAATTGCTATTAAATTTTATCATTTAATATTGTCTTATAATAGTATTTTCAAAACATATAAAAATATACATCCACCTTAAGTGTACAAATCTACGGCCCTTCGATCTTATCTGTGGATCCTTTCGATGTCATTGTATCTGTTCCAATACCAACTGTCTCACTCGTTTCACCTAACACATTTGTAATTACAATATCAATATGTTTATCACATTTAATAGTTAGTCATGCACTAATGCATGCAAAATGATGTACCCCAAAGTGCCCCTTAGCTTCGGTTACACATTAGTACTTTTGTTCTAGGATTACATTTCCTCCCCAAATTTTTAANAGTCATGCACTAATGCATGCAAAATAATGTACCCCAAAGTGCCCCTTAGCTTCGGTTACACATTAGTACTTTTGTTCTAGGATTACATTTCCTCCCCAAATTTTTAAAATCACTCACATTAATCACAATTAGGATTAAGTAGGTCAACACATTGATTGGAGGCCCATTTTTCACATATTTCGACCTCGAATCTTAAAAATTGCACTCCCGACATTTTGTACATTTCGCACCGGATATTATACTCATTTGCATTCGAAAGTCACATTATCACATCAAATATCATTTAAAAATGCAGCATGCAAAATTTCAGGTCATTTGAATTAAAATTTATGCATGTAATGATAACATTTAGAAATCAGGGTTTTGACATTATCGGCATCCTTTCCTAACCTCTATCGCTCTTTTTTCTGTTAAATCTGTTGCACTTAAATTCACGCACACTTTTAATCAATGCAAAACAACCCCTAATTGAGCCTTTAAACCACTCATTTTATTCCCATAATTTTCGTTTTCAACCTAGCCCACTAAATACTTTCCGAATATTTTAAATGATCATTTTCACACTTTCGTACACTTTGTTGAGTACCCATTTAATACTCATTCTTAACAGTCCCTAAATTTTGTTTAACACCCTTAATAAAATTTGTTTTGAATTTAAAATAAAACAACTCATTATTTTAACACAAAAACAGCCCACCAAATTAAATTAAAATAGCCCATTAAAATTAACTAAAACAAACCATAAACTAAATTAAAATAGTCACTAATTTAAAACATGTTAAACAGTTCATACATATACAACTACATATATACATAAATTAATCACAATGCATGATTAAATTGAATTCCATATACCTTTCTTGTTCACGGATCAAATGAACACACACACGTATTTGTTTTCTTGATATCTTCTGCTCTCCTTTTTTTTTTCCCTTTTTTCTCTCTTGCTCTCCTCACTCACTCACAGTTTAGTGAAGAACCAGACAAACACACACACTTTGTTTTATATATTAAACAGACACACACACACCCAACACCCCTTTTATATTTTACTTAACACACCCACACTTTACACCTTAAACACACACACACACACATACACACGACACACACACACACACGACACACCATTTTTTCCTTTTTTTTTTTTAGAGTAATGCTATATAGACTTAAAAATTAGATTTGATAATCACAATCATTGAATAGGTAGTGGGTTCCAATAAATACTGGAACCCACAGTGAAATCAATGGTTATAATTATCAAGTCTACTTTTTAAACTTAATTTTAAAGTTCATGAAGTATTACTCCTTTTTTTAAGACCAACACCTGTAAAGGTGACCCATGTTAATGGGTTAATTACGCTTATCNTGCTCCTTTTTTTAAGACCAACACCGGTAAAGGTGACCCATGTTAATGGGTTAATTATGCTTACCTCCCCTCAAATTTTAAATGATTTTAAAATCAACCCACTAATATTTTTATAAAATTCTATAAATTTGTCTCACAAATATCTCAATAATGGGGTCCACATACCCAATGCATACTCACACACATCATGATTATAAAAGATTTAATTAATTAACCCTTTAATAATTTCACATAATTATAATTTAGCCCATAAAATTATGTTAATATGCATACAATGCGTGATTAGGTCACACAAAACGGGTCAACACGCTTAACCATAAAAAGTCATGTCGAGTTCATGTCAAAATCAGGTTAACTTGATTTTGACCTAATTAACTCGTATATTTTAAATAAGTTGACATAATTCACACACAAACCTGACTTAATCCATTGTATACCACGTTTAACCCGTTTATGGCGATATAGTTTGTCTATTATGTATGATTGATGTAGTCTTAACATTATTACTTATTAGTTCTTATTTCTACTATGATAATTGATAATATTGTTCTTAACATTATTATGACAGTATGTTAGTATAATTCTTGCTTTAATTTTTGGTTTCAAACTTGAATGTATTTTAGTTAATTTCATTGATAAAATGTGATATATTATTTGTTAAAAAGTTATTTAAAATTTTGGATAAATGATTGTATGATATATTTAATGACAATAAACTGGTGTGAAAACATGTTATATGTGTTAAAATAAGTTTGTGTTATGTGTGCTAAACAAGTCAAACAGATCTTATTATGTGTGTTAATCCAAAAACGACCTGTTTATTAAACGTGTCAAACAAATCGAGTTTGAGTAGGTTAGTGTTTAGACATCTCTACACGATTATTAAACATGTTCAGTTTGAATTATAAAATTTTCGACATAAACTCAAAATTAACTCGACATAAAATGACCTAACTCGATACCTTTGACACCCCCCTAGTATTAAGTAAAATTTATCCCATGAAATAAAACTCAGATCACATTCAGCGACGTGTAAGAAAACTTTGGGTAATATCCAACTGGTTCAAAAAAAAAAATATAATTCATTTTATTTTATCGTCTACCCTACCGATATAAATTGCATTTAATTAAGCACTTAAAAAATTGAAAAATACCAACCAAGCTCTTAATTTTATTTACACTATCAAACAAATGCAAAATATAGAAAATTATTGGAATTATGTTGTGCAATGATTGAGTTCAATGTTTGAGGTAGGATCAAGAGCCATGTTCAATGCCTTTTTTTAATCAAATAACGTTTATTTTCAAAATCTACTTATTATAAAAATAAAATAAAATAGAGATACAATTATTTATTATATAATTCTGCGGATCTCGCTATAAATAGAGCCTTATGTCTTGAATATTTTTATTGACGATTAAGTTAATTGCTAATATCTAATATGATTCAAAAGTCAACTCTTTTATAATTATATCTTTATCATTAGATTATTTTAATTTTAATTTGGGCCAAGTTACAAGATCTGTGGAAAACGTTTTCATATTTTCATTAAAAACTCCCATTTCTCTAACATTGCACATAACAAATTTTAATTAAACTATGGTTTTTCAAAGGCCCACCTTTTTTTTTCAACATATCTACATCAACCCGTGAAATTTCCCAAAGTAAAATTGGTTTTGGTTTTGGATTGTTATCTTTAAAATGTTTGGTCAATTATTTTTTAGAATAATTTTTGAAAAAAAAAAAACTTGATTTTAGGGAACACAAAAAAAATGTTTTCATTACTTTATATGTTTTGTAGAACTGTTTTTAAAATCATATAAATAAATAAGTTATGTGATATAAAATATTAAAATACTAGTTATTACTTGTATTTGAAAACACAAAATAATAAAAAATGGTCAACAACAAATATATTGGTATTCACATCCAAAATCAAATCACAAACATAGATGAGAGATAAATAAACTTAAGCACTGATCGTAGTGGAGTGAGAGATAATGAACGATAGTGGTGGATGGCAATGACTGTGGTAGTAGTGACAGTCATGAGTGACGGCGGTGGTAATGGTGGACAACGATGATGATTGTTACTAGTCGTGGTGGTGAGCGTGTTGATGGCGGAGGTGGTGGGCAACGATGGATACTTCTGGGCGACAGTATAATAGGTGGCAACGAATGGTGGTGGTGGTACGTATGGTGGGATGGGTGACAGTGGGTGGCAGCAATTGTGGTCGATGAAGGGGGTGGTGGTAGGTGTGGTGGGGGTGGGTGATAGTGGCTGTTGACGACAGGTGGTGGTGGACAACAATATGTTGGTGGTGGATGGCAATGATAGTAGTGAGATGATGATGGTAGTGGTAATAAATATAAGAATGAGATGACGATGATGGTGAGTGGCGGCAGTGGAGTAGTGGCAGCAGCGGCGATAACGGTGATGGTCGTGGGGCTATGAAGGTGGTTGTGGTAAGAGTGATTGTGAGATGACAACAATGGTTGTATGGTGACAACAACGGTGATGATGTAGTGGTAGGAATGATGGTGGTGAGACGGTGGGAGTGATGGTGGTGGTGGGGTGTCAATAGTGGTGGTGATATCGACGGGGGTGATGTCGGGGCGATGGTGATTATTGTGGAAGAGGCGATAATAATGGCGGTGGTGGTTATTATGACAGAGATAGTGGTGGGTTGGCAGTGGTGGTGGCTGGGGTAGTTGTGTTGTGGGGTGGTGGCGGTGATGGTAATATTGATGATGGTGGGACAGTGGTGGTGGAACGATTTCAAATACTAATTTTTTTGTTTAAAGTAGTTATAATAAATTATAAGTCTTAAAAACACTTTAAAAAAGTCATCATAAATATATTTTTATGGGTCTATTTTCTCTATTAAATCTGATATATTAATATTAATAATCAAATTAATTTTAAAATAAAATTAAAGAGATGTTAATCACGAAAAATAAAATTTATTTTACTTATTTTTAATATTTGAATTGTAATATGCACTCAATTTTTTCCTCTGTCACCCAAAAAAATAAAAAATNTTAAAAAGTCATCATAAATATATTTTTATGGGTCTATTTCCTCTATTAAATCTGATATATTAATATTAATAATTAAATTAATTTTAAAATAAAATTAAAGAAATGTTAATCACGAAAAATAAAATTTATGTTACTTATTTTTAATATTTGAATTGTAATATGCACTCAATTTTATCCTCTGTCACCCAAAAAAATAAAAAATTAGAGGTGGAGGATTTGGAATCCAAGAGACGGCGCCGTACATAAGTTTGGTCAAAAGCTGACGTTAAAAGCTAGGCGGAGAACGAGCTACAGTTGGACACTTGTGGTGGGCCGGTGATGAAGCAATCCGGCGAACAGGCAGTTATTCGGCGAAGAAAGAGAGAGGGATATATAAAACAGAAGAATTGAGAGCTCAGCCAATCATCATTCAATTCATTTAAGGGTGGCGCTTTCGCGAGCATGAATAAGAAAGGTCTTGCCATTTTGATGCGAACCAAAATGAGACCTCGTTCCCCAGCCAGCTCCGTAAGTCTGATTCTCCACAACTCTCTCTCTCTCTCTCTCTCTCTCTGTGACAATTGATTCGAAATTGTAAATTCTTTTGTATTTTTCAATTTACCAGTCAAATTTAAGTGTATTGACAGTGTTATTTCAGTGAAATTTATATAATTGATTGTGAATTTTTTTTTATGACAGAACAAGTTTAATCAAATGCAAATTGCTCTGCAGGACGGAAACAGAGTACCTGATCAAAATGCCTCCAACAATACGGAGAGGTGTGTGTGCATCTTAGGGTACCTTTTTGAATATATGCTGCGTTTGGCAGCATGAAATCCAAGCTCTGCAATTGGAATTGAAGATCGTATTAGTTCAATGGTTAAACTAACTTTTCTCCAATTCCAATTCCATTGCCCTTATTCCTTGCTCCCAGACACAGCGTTACTTTCTTTTCTGCGTTTCAATAATTTANAATTCCATTGCTCTTATTCCTTGCTCCCAGACACAGCGTTACTTTCTTTTCTGCGTTTCAATAATTTACCTTAATTTCCGTTGAAATAAATATTTTATTCGCAATCTAAGAAAAATTAATGTTTTTCTACTTCTATTACTTTCAGAGAATTTGAGCAAGTACAAGAGTCGATGCGCTTGGCCATATCGATGAATAAAANTACCTTAATTTCCGTTGAAATAAATATTTTATTCGCAATCTAAGAAAAATTAATGTTTTTCTACTTCTATTACTTTCAGAGAATTTGAGCAAGTACAAGAGTCGATGCGCTTGGCCATATCGATGAATAAAACGGAAATTGTAGATGCTGTACTAAATGATTTCTCAGAGGTAGAATTCATATTTATGTGTAGGTATTTTTAATTTTAGTGCTTTAATTCAACGTAACAGTAAGGATAATGTATTGATAATGTAGGGCTATTTTACTCTCTCACAAGAAGACCGCAGAAAATTACTCCTTATACTTTCTAGAGAGTATGACCTCAGTAGGACTCAAGTTCATGAACTGATGAAGCAATATCTCGGTCTTGATCTTCCTACTGGTGAGTTTGTGGTGGCGGCATTTGAATTCTATATTTTCTTAAGTGATTTTGTTCATGAAAGCATATGATTGTAGGTGACAAAGCTCAAGATAATGATCAAGAAGAAGGCTCGCTTTCCGCTTTCTATAGAATTGAGCGGAATTTGAGACATGCTCTCAAGCCAATGTATGAAATTTTATTTGAACGGCTCAACACTCACACTGGAGGGTTGAAGTTCTTGTCCATTATTCGAGCTGATATCCTATCTATTCTCGTGTAAGGTCATGCCCCCACATTAGAGGATTTTGATTTGTGTTGTCTTGTATTAGTTATGTTCTTGCTTCATTGAGATCCTAGTAGTGCAGGTGACAGATCTAAGTGATTTGCAACTATGATATGTGGGACTTCCATGATTGTTCAACATGTTTAAACTCGTTAAACAATTTTGAAACTTGTTAACCCTTGTTTGCAATTATTTTTTGATTGCCCTCTAAATAATTGTGTTGGGTATTTAATGCCTTGTAAAATAATAGTGGTTACAGAAAAAAAGGGTTAAAAGGACCAACATACCAGGGAATTTGAGAGTTTTGATGACCTGATTCCGATACTAATATGCAGGGAGCAAAACATTGCATCTTTAAGAGCATTAGACTCCTACTTGAAAGAGAAACTTATAACATGGCTTAGTCCTGCTAATCTAGAACTTCATCACATTACATGGGATGATCCTGCTTCTTTGCTGGAGAAAATTGTGGCATTTGAGGTACCCTTCTCTATCTGGTCAACTTTTCATGCGGTCATATAAGGAGGTATACATCATATTTGATGATCATCTTGCATGCAGGCTGTCCATCCGATCAGCAGTCTTATAGATCTAAAAAGAAGGCTGGGAGTAGGTCGTCGTTGTTTTGGATATTTACATCCGGCAATACCGGGTTAGCAATTCCTTTATTGCCTAATGTGGACATTGGTGGTTTTCGGTGTGCTGTTGTTACCCTTTCCATAACAGTGGAAGTTTCTTATTTCTCCTGAATTTATTCTGGAATTTAATTTGTATTCCCCAATTTTTGGGGTGACTTAAGCTAGTGTCAATATTATTTCTGAAAGAGTGGTTACCAAAATTCACAACCTTATCATGACTTATAAATACATGTCAATTATTATTGGATATATTCACTTGGTTACTCTGATGATTTTAATAAGCAGCATCATGCTCCTTTGATGTGTATATTTGTCATGGTTGATCTAAACATTGAGTTGGGATTGAAAATGCATCTAAGCTGCATTATTGAGGCATAGCATGAATCTATGACATGATCAAGAAATTATTAGACCCAAACAAGTCCGATCTCCAATAACCGATACTGCTAGGACGGGTGGACTTGATACAAACCTAACCTTTGGCATTATATGCACAAAGTGTCTTCCTCTATATTCAAACCCACAACCTTAAAAGCTTCTAAAAACCTTGGTTGATAATTCAAATATCTGTGTTGTACTTGCTACGCTTGAGAGTAGTGACTATTGTTGATAAATGATAGCCTTTAGGTAGAGGAATTGAATAATAAACTTTTTTTATAGTTGCATTTGTTAGCATTCTTGTGGTGTTTTCTACGAGTTAATCGAGTCTAAAATACTTCAGGTGAACCACTTATCTTTATTGAAGTTGCCCTATTGAAGAATGTGGCTCAGACAATACAGGTGAAAACATAAAGTTTACCTCATTGGATGTCACTAACAAGGGATCATAACAATTATACTCACTTCTAACCAGGAAGTTCTATGGGATGATCCTCCAATACCCGAATGTGAGGCAACCTGCGCATTGTTTTACTCTATATCGTCGACTCAGGTAAGAATGGTTTTCTTTCGCATTTGTGTATAATGGCTAAACTTGTGATAGATGTAAGTAAAAGGGATACAAACTAAGTGTAGAGTCTCCGTATATATAGTCAATGAGAGTTACAATAAGGACAAAAAGGTAAAAAGGAAAATNAGTTTCGAAGGTGTGTTAGCTTAAGAAGGGTGATTAGATAAGTTTCAAAATGCTTTCAAGTCAAAATAATGCCTCCATTGAATCCAGAAGGTTGAAAAACATTGGGAANAAACTTAGTTTCGAAGGTGTGTTAGCTTAAGAAGGGTGATTAGATAAGTTTCAAAATGCTTTAAAGTCAAAATAATGCATCCATTGAATCCAGAAGGTTGAAAAACATTGGGAAAGATAATATGGGGTGTATTAGAAGTTAGGAAGTATTTTGAAGTTAAAACCTATTTTGGAGAGGATTTGGGTAAAAAGGAATTTGATACTACTTTAGTATTTTGGCCATAACTTTCTACTCATAACTCTGATTGACTTGATTTGTGGATAGTAGAAACTAGACTTCAAGGGCTACAAAAGTGTATTGCACAAAAATTTTCCAAATCGACCTCTAAATAGGCCAAAACGGCGCTGAAAGTTTCAGCAAACAAAGTGTACCAGTACAGCGTACCGATACTGTGTACCGGTACTTCGAACTCCAAAAGCTAAATAGTATAGGTACACAGTACTTGTACACTCTGTAAAACCCAGTTCGACTTGATTTCAGGTTTTGTCTCAGTTTCTCACCCTATAAATACATTAGGGCGCCTTCTTTAACCCCATTTCACCACTTCCAACCCTAGGAAGCTTTAGAGAGAAAGAGAGAAAGACAAAAACACAAGATCAAAAGGGTAAAACCAGAGATTTAAGATTTAAGGTTTGATTCAAGATCAAAATCCTAGTTCTTCAAGAACACCAAGGTAGGGGGTTTTCTTCCATCCTTGTTCATTGAGGTTAGGGTATTTATATATGTATGTTTTGCCTCTAAATGTTATATATATGATATGAAATCATCCTCTCTTAGTCTATTTTTTGCAAAGATTACATGTTTTGAAAAAAGTTAGAGTTGATTACCCACGAAATCTCTTTTCTTGCTTTAAAACCCTAATTTTTGGAGAGTGATGAATTTTCTTCTTAAATTCTTCCTTTATTATTGATTTCGAAACTATAGTGCTTTGTGTTGAATAATAAAATAATGTTGTTGTGATCTTTTGTATTTTTCTTAATTGGTTTTGGAATTGTCACATGATAGATTTGGGGATTTTTGAGATATGCTTGTAAATTGAGAAATTGATTTGGTATTGTATCTCTTATGAGTGTGGGATAACCATGGGTGGCCTTTCACGAGATATCGTAGAGTGGGTAGACGTTCTTCATACTCCGTGTGGGTTTGAACTTTTTCTACCACTCGTAGTGGGGTTAATGCTTTGGTAAGACTAAACCGCTATTGCTCACGGGTATCGAGGTGATGGGTTAGTATACTAATGCTTGGGTTGGATACGTCACTACCATTGGTATGGTATACACCATTCCTAAAGGTTGGATATCTTTGAAAAGATTTGGGAGTGCGTGTGTGGGCTAGATGTTACTCAATACGTTGACTCATGTGGATGCCTTACATCATGGTTGAGATACATGTATATATTGTTGTGAAATGTTCAAGTTATGAATTATTGTTCATTGTACCACAAATAGTTTCTACAAGAATTTTGGGAAGTATGGGATTCCGCAAGAACTTGGGAGAAACGGTTTATGGTGGGATGGATTATTAGTTGTATATTGGTTTCACTAATGCATTAAATTACTGATGTTGCTTAAACTTGAGATCTGTTTAAATGTCCATGTTTTATTGCAAAATTCATATATGCTATTTGTGAAAGGTTACCGACTGTTTTTATATGATTTTCTAAACCTTATTCAAGTTTGGGAGGAATGTTGTTACAGAGCTTAGTGCTCACCCCCCTACAAACTACATTTTTCAGATTATGTATTAGAGGAGGATTTGGGAATTGAGGAATCAGTACACTGGGAGATTCCCGTAGACGGGCATGTTGATCCCGAATGTGGATGCTTAGAACAACATTACTTTTTATTCTAGACTAGGACTTGTGATAGATGTAAGTAAAAGAGATACAAACTAAGTGTAGAGCCCCCCGTATATATAGTCAATGAGAGTTATAATAAGGACAAAATGCTAAAAAGGAAAACTTAATAAAATCCTAATAAACTAGTCTGCTGCTATATCTCCAACACTCCCCCTCAAGCTAGGTGCAAAAAAGTCAACTAAGCCAAGCTTGACAACAAAGTCCCGAAGAATAGATAGAGTGACAGGTTTGGTTAAAACATCCGCAACCTGATCATTGATCCCCACAAATGATGGAGTGACAATACCAATACTAACCTTCTCCCGAAGAAAGTGAACATCAATCTCTATATGCTTTGTCCTCTCATGTAGTACAAAGTCAGAAATGAGCTGAATAGCAGGTCGATTATTACAATATAATGTGGATGGAAAAGTCACTGAAAATCTCAACTCGCCAAAGATCGATCGTAGCTAGGTAATCTCACACGTGCCAAGTGCTAGTGCCCGATACTCTGCCTCCGCTGACGAGCGGGAGACAACTGTCTACTTCTTGCTCTTCCAAGAGATAAGATGAGTCCTCCAAAAAGCACAGAAGCCCGTAGTAGATCAACCATCACATGCTCCCCCATAATCTGAATCTGAATAACAAGCTAGAGAATTAATCTGAGATCCTGATGCATAAAACAACCCAAGTCCAGGACAAGACTTGAGGTACTGAAGAATATGATAAACTGCATTAAGATGAGGCTGACACGGCCTGTGCATGAACTGACTAACTTGGCTGACTGCGAATGAAATGTCCGGGCTAGTGTTAGCTAAGTAGATAAGTCTACCTACCAACCTCTGATAAACTGTCGGATCTCTCAACTCCTCAACTTCAGCAGTAAGCTTCAGATTTGGAATCATGGGTGATGATGCTGATTTGCACCCCAGCATCCTAGTGTCTGAAAGAAGATCTAGAACATACTTTCTCTGAGAAAGAATAACCCCCCTGCCGCTACGGGCAACCTCAATCCCAAGAAAGTATCACAGAAATCCAAGGTCCTTCACATCGAAGGCCTTCCCAAGGTCTACCTTGACCTACGCACTCCCAAAAACATCATCACCAGTAATAATAATATTATCAACATATACTAGAAGGATAACACACTGTCTATAAGTATTCCGTTGAATAAAGCAGGTATGATCGGAATGACATCTGGTGAACCCCAAATGTACGACTACATCACTAAAGCAAGAGAACCAGGCTCGTGGTGACTGTTTCAGTCCATAAAGAGACTTACGCAGTCGACATACCTTTCCAGTATACTCCCCCTCACCACGAAAACCTGGTGGTGTATCCATATAAATAATCTTGTCCAGATCACCGTGAAGAAACATATTCGTCACATCTAACTGATGAAGAGGCTAAGAGTACTCCGCAACCAGAGAAATAATCAACCAAACAGTAGTCAATTTTGCCACGGGGGCAAATGTAGCACCAAAATCATAACCTGGTACCTGAGTAAAACCCTTCGCCACAAGCCTAGCCTTGTGACGATCAATAATACCATCTGCATGAAATTTCAAGGTGTAAACCCAGCGACAACCAACAAGCTTCACTCCTGAAGGTAAAGAGACAAGATCCCATGTATGATTACGCTGAAGAGCGTCCATCTCTGTCTGCATGGCAAGAACCCACTAGGGCTCTTGCATAGCCTCCGAAACAGAGCGAGGAATTGGCATATCTGATAAGGCCATACTATAAGCTCGAAATGTAGGAGACAAATCACCATAAGAAACATAAGCAGAGATCGGATATAAAATCCTGGCAGTCCAACCATAACGATCAACTGGACATCGATCACGACGCGGATAACGACGCCCTAAATCCTCATCCTCCACTGATAATATCTCATCAGGTAAAGGAACTGGCTCAACACCTGCAAACTCATCAGTACTAACAATAGGTGCATCAATATGCTCAACAAACTGAGAAGTATTACCTGCATCGCCTGAGGTAGAGGGGACATTAGCAGGGTGATAAGAGCGAGGGCGACGAACATACATCTACAAAGGAAGAGAGACTGGTGACTCTATACTGATAGGGATGAGTGGCTCCGAAGGAGGAGAGACGGATGACCTTGTAGGGATAGTGAGCAATGACTCTGGCTCCTGTGGTAATGAAAAATCAAAGGGAGTATCATCAACTGAAGGGGCAGACATAGGACTGGAAGGAAAATAAAGAATATGCTCAAAAAAAAACATCTAGACTGTGATACATACGGTGCCTAATAGGATCATAACACCAATACCCCTTAGATTGATGACAATAACCCACAAAAATACAATGAATCGCTTTATCATCAAGTTTATGACGAGTAGGAGACCGATCCTGAACAAAACATGTGCATCAAAAAACACGAGGGGGGACTGAAAAAAGTGTCCGCTCAGGAAATAAGATTTGTAAGGGAGCCTTATGCTGAAGAACACGACTCGGCATACGATTGCACAGAAAGGTAGAAGTCAAAACAGCAAAATGCCAATAAGATTTTGGTACCCTCATGCCTCTAAGCATACAACGTATCATCCCTATCAAACTCCTATTTTTCCTTTCAGCAACGCCATTTTGCTCAGGAGTATATGGACAAGTGAGTTGCTAAAGAATACCCTAAGAAGAAAGGTGAGACACTAAGGCATTAGACACATATTCTTTGGCATTATCCGAACGAAGAGTACGAACAATGACATCAAATTGTGTCTTAATCATCTGTAAAAATTTAGTGATTATAGGGAGTACATCAGACTTCCTATGCAAAAGGTAGACCCAAGTACAACGGGTATGATCATCTATAAATGTCACATAATATCTGGCACCTGACAGAGCAGTAACGGGAGAGGGTCCCCAAATATCAGAGTGTATTAGGTCAAATGGCTTGGGTGACTGGTGCATGCGAGGAATATA